AAGGAAGGAAGGGAGGGAGGGAGGGAGGGGGGAGGAAGGAAGGAAGGAGTGAGGGAGAGAAGGAAGGAAAAAGGAAGGTAGGGGAAGAGAAGGGGAAGGAAAAAAGAAGGAAGACAGAAAGAAAGATAAGGAATCACTGAGGGTATTCAAGTAGGACAGAGACAAGTGTAAGGCAGGACTCTGGAAAGGAAACTGACAGAATTTAGAGACCAAGGTGAGTACTGTGATAATCTCAGGACCCGGGCAGGTATTGGATACTGGAGAGTGCCCCCTGGGATTTCCCAGGTTCTGGTGTTGCAGAACAAGAAACTGCACCAGGGACATGTGGACAGTGGTAGAAACAAAGATCGTTTAAAGCACTTCTGAAAATGGAAATGGACCAGGACTGGAGAAAGGTCAGAGGCTCAATGGTGAACACGCTGTACAAAGGATCAGGATTTTTACATTCCAGTGTCATGGGCTTTTAGGCCATTTAAATATTGTACACTTTTTCTGCACATGCTCTGCTACATGTCAGCCTTTGTTGGGTAGGGTCTTCCAGTCTTTCTCAGTCATTGGTTTCTTTCATATGCTAATCTTGAGGAGGATGCATGTGCACATGTGTGCCCATGCATGTGAAGACTGTAGGACAACCTTGGGTGTCATTCTCAGACACACTGTCCACCTTGATTTTTAAGGCAGGATCTCACGTTGGCCTGGGACTTGCCTTTTAGGCTAGGCTAGCTGGCCAGTGAGCCCCAGGGACCCCCTGTCTTCACTTCCCCAGTACTGGGATTACAAAAATACTCCACCAACCCTCTCTTGTTTATGTGGGTCCTAGGGATTGAACTCAGGTCCTCATGCATTTTTACTTACTGAGCCATCTCGTCAGCCTTCAAATGCTAATCTTGAGTCTCTTCTCTACACCCTACTCTCCTGCTGCAGTGGGAAAGACATTTGAAGAACAGGAAGCCACACAACTTGATAATCAATTCATACCACAAAAATCTCCCATTTGGGGGCTGGAGAGATGGCTTAGAGATTAAGAGTATTTGCTACTCTCCAGAGAACCTGAGTTTGGTTCCCAGCACCCACATAGGGTGGCTCACAACTGCCTGTAACTCCAGCTCCAAGGGAGCTGGATGCCCCAGTGCTCTAATGCCCTCTTCTGGCCTCCAAGTGTACACATATACAAGTCACATAAATAAAAATAAATGTAACTTAAAGTCTATTTAAGCAGCTAAGTTGAAGTAGAACTTGATTTTTTTTTTTTTTTTGTCTTTTTGAGACAGGGTCTCCCTGTAGCCCCAGTTGGCCTGGAACTCACTATGTAGAACAGGATGGCCTTGAACTCACAGAGATCCATCTGCCTCCTCTGCCTCCCAAGTGCTGAGATTTAAAGGCTTGTGCCACCATCCCTGGGGAACTTCTATTCTTAATAGTAAAAACTTCTATGTGCCCATAAAATGATACAGATAATTCAACACCCAAATTTTTAGTTTCTTAGACTGTGGACCCCCCAGAGCTGTGGGCCTGCAAGACGATCTGTTTTCTACCCACTTACTGGATTCCAGGAGGTGGTTAGGCACTTCAGCTCTTTTCTTGGGCTCTTCTACTAGGCTCTTCAAGAGGAGGGGCGATACCTTCTCAAAGGGTTCTTCCGCATTCTTTAGTTCCTGCCTTGGGGGTTTCACAACTGCCATCTTATCATGAAAAATGTTCTTCTAGAGTCAAGGGTCATTTCCTGGAGAGAAAACAGCAGCGGTAAAATCATCCATGAGAAACACACACATAATTCTTCTCGATTCTTGACAAATATCCTCTTGACAAATGTCACTGCATGGTGTACTGCGTGGTTCAGGCCTTCCCTGGCTCTGGTCTCTGCTGGACACTTCATTCACACACACCCCTGTCCCATTAATCATTTTACACCACACGTCATAACCCAAATGGCTCCACTGATCCAAATTCTTCTGTGGTTCTTAAGAGCTTTTTCCAAAATGTTCTCCTGAGATAATTTATGGAAACATGAAAGGCAAAACAAAGGCTTTCAATGCCAAAAAAAGTGTCCTAGTATCATTTCTGTTGCATTATAAAACATCTTGACAAAAAGCAACATAGGAGAGGAAAGGGTTTATTTGGCTTACAATTTCAAATCATTGAAGGGAAATTGAGGCAGGAATCCAAACAGCTTAACATCTACAGTCAAGAGCAGAGAGAAATGAATGCTCCCACACTGCCTGCTTGATTTTGCTTGCTCGCTTTCTTCACTCTTCTACAGTTCAGGGCCCTGCCTAGAGAATGGTGCCACCCACAATGGGCTGGGTCTTCCTACAGCAATTAACAATCAAGACAATGCCCGAAAGTCAACATGTTCTAATTTCTCATTAAGTATCTCTTCCTGGGGACTGGAGAGATGACTCAGTGCTTAAGAACACTTGCTGTTCTTAAGGACCAGGTTTGAGTCTCAGCATCAATACGCCAGCTAACAACTATCTGTAACTCCAGTTATAGGGAATCTGAAACCTTCTGCCATTGCAGGCACTGGTGTGCACATGTGGTAGTACACATATATATGCAGGCAAAACATTCATACACATAAAATAAAAACAAAAAGTAAAATATTAAACAAAACAACAACAAAGATTCTCTTCCCTGATGATTCTAGGTTGTGTCAAGTTGACAGTTAAAACTAAGTCCTCCTTTTGACATGTCTCCAAATCACTTTCATGGGGATATGTGAGGAGGTAGTGACCCTTCAACTTTTGGACTGTTTACAAGACATGGGCATTCATAAGTCACCTTCTGAACCCCTCTGCTAATAGGAAGTGACAGAGAGGAAAGGAAGCCTGCAGGTGGCCAGGTCTCAGAGACCTGGGACACACTTAGGGACTCTGGGTCTCAGTCCAGGTCACACCCCTTCCAGATTTGCTCCCTTTCCCCCTCCTTTAATGTTCTCAAGTACTGTTCTGTAACTCATCTGGCATTGCTATTTATTGTCTTGTAATAGTACTTTACAGATCCAACATTTTATTCTAAGGACAACTTTGTGGATTCAGTTTTCTCCTTCTACCTTAACATGGGTTCTGGGGATTGAACTCAGGTCTTTAGGCTTGCAAGGCAAGCACCTCTACCCTCGAAGCCATCTAGCTGGCCCCAAATCCTACGTTTTCTATATCAGCCACAACTCTCTCTTAACTTGGGTAATATTTTCAGAAATAGACCAGGGAGGCTGCTCTGGGAAGACCCTGAAATTGAATGTAAAGTCATGCATGCATATTTATGCTTTTTGTATTTGTTTTGTCTTTCCTGAAGGCCTTTCGCTTCGGAGTCCCAAGAATCTACAGGAGAGAATGTAGAAAGAGTGACCTACCAAAGCAGGTGCCTCGCAATGACTTTCAAAAAGTTTCCAGCTGTTCCTGTCCCTCGCCTTTTACAAGCAAAGGCTGCCCACTCCTCAGCACAGCCTCCTCCTAACCTGCTTAGTACCTCTCCCCCCATCACCTGCCCAAGTTCACACCCTCCAGCCTCTGTTCCTCCCGGTTCCCGCACAGCCACTGAGGGTACTTCAGTCAGGAACAAGCACTATGGGGTTTTTATGCCCCCTTGCTCACAGCCACGGAACTTGACCTCACAGTCACCGCCTCCCCCCACACCTTCTTTGTCTCTTGGACAGGGTCTCTTATCCTGGTCAACCCCCTCTTCCCTTTCACTTTAACTCCTGGGAAGAGTCAGGTGCCCGTGGATCACAGACCCCCACAACCACCCTGTCCCGATTTCTTTGGGCTCCATCTCTCCTCCACTCCGGTCTCAGGGTGAGCACCTTTTGGACACCCGCCTGGAACTCCAAGGTCTCTGGTTGCTTCAAGCAGCTCTGCGGCCACCTAGGGCCACTCTGGGCCCCGGGTCTGAGGCCGCTCACGCTGGAGATGATGGTTCTGGGGAACGGGATTCGGCTGCACGGAGGCACCTACTTGGAACGTCGCCATGACAACACCGACGCGCTCCTTGAATGTGTGGCCAGACTCACCCAAACCGTCAGCAAACATGGGGGAAGTCGGGCCGGAAGCAGTGGTTAACTTCTTGAGGCTCTGAGCAGTGTGCAGGGCCTGAGGAAGAACAGAGAGCGCGCGACTTAGGATGTTGGAGGCAACGTATTCCTCAGAAAAGAAGAGAAAGTTTGAAGACACCATGGATTGGAAGTCCGTAGGAGCAGTTGAGATTGGCGGCCAGGCAGGGGCGGGGCCTCCTGGCCCAGTGGGCGGGGCTTCCTCCTGGAAGGGCGGCCCATTTTATAGTTCCGCAGTTCAGCTTGCAAAGTTAGGCAGAATGCTATAAAGAGCCCCGCACTCAGCTGCAACCATGATCAGATCTCATCCAGTCTGGTTTCTAGTTTCATCGATACTTTATTCTATCATTTTGAAGAAGTTCCTGGAGACCTTTGCATCTATACTTAAAAGAAAAAAAGCATTTTTCATTCTTTGGCAATTTCATACATGTAAACAGTGCATCTTGGGACTCAGTCATTATAAGAACTGGCTGCTTTTGCAGAGGACTGGGGTTCAAGTCCCAGCTCCTACATGGTGGCTAACAACCAACGGTAGCTCCAGTTCCAGGGGATTCAACCCTCTCTTCTAACCTCTGCATTGCACAATATGGGTGCATTTTCACACATGCAGGAAAAACACTCATACACATAAAAGTAAAGGTAATGCATCTTGATTTTATGTGCCCTCTACTAGCTCTTCCCACTCTCCTAAACCCCCACCTACTCCCTCCTACTCCCTACAGACACCCCCAACAAGCTCTTCCCCCCTTTTTGGAAATTAAAACCTACTGAGTCTAATTAGTGCTGCCTGTTGGAATGCTGACCGATTTTGTTGACTTGATAGTGTAATGAGTTCATGAGTGTGACAGCCAGATCATGTCCAGAAGACAGCATTTTACAGCACTCCTCCATCTTCTGGCTCTTTCTACCCCTCTCTAGGGATAGCTCCTGAGACTTGGGGTTGGGGTGGGGAGATTGATATAGATGTTCCAATAAAACACTTATTCTCACCTCTTTGATCAGTTATGAGTTTCTGCATTAGTTGCTGACCACTGAAGAAAGAAGTTGTTGTGGCCAAGGGCAGCACCAATCTATGGGTACAAGTATCAATACTGAGTAGGCAGTTTGATATGATGTCTCTTAGTGAGGCAACAGTAGCAGATTCTTCCCTTTGGCCTGTGACCTCCAAAGCCATGGGCCTTTGACCAGGTTTCCAGTACTAGGCATGGAGTCTTTCCTCTGAAGCAGGCCTCAAATCCAATCCAAAAGCAATTGGTTACCTCCATAACTTTTATGCAACCATTGCACCAGAGGGCACATCTTGCCTGGCAGAAGGGGGTGGGAGTGGGTTAACCAAAACTAAGGATTATGAAAAACCTTTACGAAAACCCACTCCTCTGTAAACTAATTTAAAATATAATTAAGAAAACTAAAGTAATTTAAAGATAGCCCATGTGAGTGGACAATGATGCCTCAAGAAGACATGGATTAGCAAATGAAAATCTTAGTACCAGGGTTGAGATACCTCCCTAAGAGTTATTGGTCATAGAGGTCTCCCAAAACAACACAGCATATTGCTTTTACTCTTGGCTGCCCAGCATAACTAGATGGTAAGACCTATTGCTAAGGGCACAGCACACTTTCTTTGCAGGGCATAGTGAAATCAAGCTGGAACCCACCTGAAAACTCCCTCCCTGCCAACTAGCTATCACACCACTGGGGAAAGTGCTATGCAGGCCACTAGGGGAGAAAACACATCAATAGTTTCCCTGGAGCTAACTCATATTGCATCCATATTTTTTAAAAGATAATTGCATATATTAGGATGCATCAAATACCACTATATACATTGTTTGCTCTTTATATAGTATAACTTAAATTCGATAAATAAATCAACAGTCAGAAAATATTTCAGAATGTGCCTCTCTTAAAGAAATAAAACAGGCTAGAGAGATGGCTCACTGGTTAAGAACACTTGCTGCTCTTGTGGAGGACTTGGGTTCTGTTTCCAACATCCACATGGCAGCTCACAAAAGCCTATAACTGCAGTTCCAAGGTATCCCATGCCCTCTTCTGGCCTACATGTACACTACACGCATGTGGTGCACCCAAACACATGCAGATGAAATACTCATATATACAAAATTTTTTAAAACTCTTAAAAAAAAGAACAACAGGGGATGGAGAGATGGTTCAGTGGTAAAGAATACTGGTGGTTCTTGCAGAGGATCTGGGTTTAGTTCCCAGCATGAACATGGTGGCTAACAACCATTTGTAACTCCAGTTGCAGGGAATCTAACATCTTCTGGCTTCTGCAGTCATTGCACGAAAGAAGTGAACTTATGTAATGTGTAGGCAAACACTCATACACATAAAATAAAAATAAATTTAAACAACAAAATCAACAACAAAAACCCCCTCAGAGTTTTGAAGAAACCCTTTATGTCCCTGGTATTTACAGTATGGTTCTAAGCATCACACCTGGCCTGCTTCCCTAAGCTCCTGCCCTGAGCATTCTGTACTTCTCATCACTGGAAAATCTCCCTCACACAGACCACTCAGACTGCTCTATTCTAGCTACTGTTATGATCCCATCCTTTCCCTGCATGACTTGGCACTTGATTTATTTGCAGCTGCATAGGAAGAGATTCTAGGAGATGTCTAACTCCTTATGCATCCTGTCCTGCTGGGCTGGACATAGCCCTTCACCCCCAGGAAAGGCTCAATGCTTATTTGTTCTATTTTTTTCCTCCTCACCATCATTGCTACCTACTAAAAAATCTCTTCATCTTGGCACCAAGGAATGGCTAAGTAGCCAAAGGTGCTTGCCTCCAAGCCTGACAACCTCAGACCTACATGGTGGAAGGAAAGAACTGACTCCTATAGATTGGTTGTCTTCTGTATCAGACACACACACACACACACACACACACACACACACACACACACACACACACAAATGTAAGAAGTTTTTCTTTTGGTTATTTTTAAGACAGGTCCTCCTATAGCCCCAGCTGAACTGGAACTACCTATACAGACCAGGCTGGTCTCAGTCTCACAAAGACCCACCTGCCTTTGCCTCTGCCTCCCAAATGCTGGGATTAAAGGCACACACCACTATGCCTGGCTGCAAAACAAAATATCTTTCAACACTAGCACTATATAAGATCCACTTTCTACCCTCTTTATAATTTTCCCAGCCAGAAGGAATCTTTTTCTCCTCTGGGTTTTCATAAACCTTTGTTCTACCATTTTTTTTGAGACAAGGTCTTATATTATCCAGGGTGGCCTAGAACCCTCTCTATAGGATGACCTCGAATACCTGATCTCCCTGCCTCTATGTCCCAAGTGTGGGGATTCCAAGTGTGTGCCGTGCCCAACTGTGTTCCACTATATCTCTTGATAGCACTTATCTCCTTACAGGCTACACCCAGCATTATTTGTGCATGTTTTTTTTTTATTGGTATTGGTTTTGAGGCAGGGTCTCGTGTATTCCAGGCTGGCCTCCCAAGGATGGTGTTGGACTCTCAGTTCTCCTGCCTCCTCCTCCCGGATGCTTGAATTGCAGGCATGCACCATCATGCTCAGTTTTTGCAATGCTAGAGACTGAACTCAGAACCTCATACATGCTAGGCAAATACTCTACCGACTGAACTACTTTCCCTACCCCTGTGTATTTGTCTCAAACTGCAGAATTCTTAGGAGGGGAGAGCCTGTACCTAATCTTTAGATCTCCCACAGCCCTTGACACAGTTTTTAGTCCATAGTGATTACTCAGTAACTGTTGGTCAAGGGAGTGAAAAATTTCATGTGCTTATCTAATGGGTTGCTTTAGTTCTGGGTTGTTGCCCCAGCAAGACTGTAGACTTCAGGAGAGCAGGTACTACACTGCCCATAGCCCTAGATCTTTTTTACTCCAGTATAAATAACAAGGTGTTTGTCTCCTACCTTTCCTAAATGTGCATTGGATAGCATTTAAAAATTCTTTCTTAATATTTTTCTTAAGAAAAAAATTATTTCCTATTACATACAGAAAGTGCATGTGGTTAGATAAGCAATTTAGCTGCACTACATGTTGTCATATGTGGTGATTGTTGAGCAATTAGCTGCACTGCATGTTCTCATATGTGGTGGTTGCATGTTGTCAATCTCCACTGTCTAACAGAAGCTTGATTCTGTTGCATATAGATGATCCTAGTGTGTATAGGCCAAGCATAGATGCTTGATTGATTTAGACTAGGTACCTCTCCTGATTCTGGATATGAAACTCTAGACTATTAGGAGACTTCTAGAGAGGGCTTTGTCTCTTCTAAGAAAGACACACACACAGATATAGTATTGTATTAGTTACTTTTCTCATTGCTGTGACAATACACCTAACAAAAGCAACTTAAGAGAGAAGGGTTTATTTTGGCTCACAGTTTGAGGGTACAGTCCATCATGGTGGGGAAGGCAGCAGGAGTGTGAGGTGGCTGATCACATTCCATTAGCTATCACGAACCAGGGAAGGATGTTGGTGCTCAGCTCATTTTCTCATTTTTATTCAGTCCAGGACCCTATCCCATGGGATGAGATGGGATAAAATATTCTGGCAAAAGCAACTCAAGGAAGTAGGTATTTATTTCGGCTCACAGTTCTCTGCTCAGTTGAGCTCCACCTGAATTTGAGATAGAATAGGTGGTGGATGTTTCAAGCCTCTAAGTTTGATAGGAGTTCACACTGCAACATTAAATAGTCAGAAATTTGACTAACTCCTAGTCAGCTCCATTTATATAGGCCAGAATCCCAACCAGGGAATGGTGCCACCCACAGTGGGTTAGGTTCCCACCTCAATTAACCAAGAGACATTCCAAGAGACAAACCTAACCTAGATAATTCCTCATAGGTGTTCCTGGGGGTTTGTCTCCTAGGTGATTCTAGATTCTGTCAAGGTGACAATCCCAACTATCACTCTTGTAATTTGATGTACTGTTAATGATTTTTGTCTTGCAGAATAAAAGAAATTGATATATCATCTATTGTGCCATAAGGAACAATTTCCAAACTCCTGCAGTCATTTGCTTGCTCTCATTCTCTCTCTCCTGGGTTTTTTTGGCTAACAATCCAAATAAAGCACGTACCATTCAGGCCCCTCGTGGCTTCTGGTGGCTGCTGCAGCTCCAACAACTATTTCTAAACTCTAAAAAACTCAGAAAGAGAAAGATTCTTGGGATGGTTCATACTGATGATCAACTTGACCAGACCTAGAAACACCTAGGAGACAAATCTCTGAGCAGGTCTGTGAGGGAGCTTCCAGACTAAGTTAACTGAAGTAATAAGATCCATCCTGAATGTGAGTAGCACCATTCAATGGGCTTGAGTCCTGGGCTGAAAAGGAGAAAGCAACTGAGCTCCAGGCATTCCTTTCTCTCTGCTTCCTGACTGTGGCTGCAATGTGACCAGCCACCCCACACTCCAGACACCTGGAGCAGCAATTTCTTCTCACTCTCTCTCCTCAGTCCTCTCCTTCCAGCACTTCAAACCAGTCCCAGCAGCTCAAATAT